GGCTTTTTAATAAGGTACACAATAACAATATTCCCTGACTTTGTGACGTCACTTCAACTAATTACCTTGTATTGAAAGCTCATGAAATTTAAAATAAAGCTGAGCCATGAAGTCGCTCCCTCGAAGATGCTACAAATAAATAAAAATATTGCATTAGACTAGTAGTGGCGGTATTTATAGCCGTTTGAGAGCAGAGTGCTTACGTAGAGGAAGGAAGATCGAAGGAACGCATTTGATGTGCGCAACCACAAATATGTTTGTCGTTTTGAAATGTGTTTATTATTATTTTATTTTCGCTTAGATGCAGCCCACCTGGCGTTAAGTGGTTACTGGAGCCCATAGACATCTACAACGTAAATGCGCCACCGACAGATGACAGATTGAATTGGTAACGCCGGTTTTAATTCATTTTACAGTCTTAAAGTACTTTTGTTAGTCATACTTATTGTGGGTGGGAGAAGTTGCTTACATCTGCCCTAGCAAGAGCAGTGCTGCGCTGAATCTACTATCGCATCTGAATCGTGACCCACCGAGAAGAACCTTCGAGAAACCCAGAGGATCTATATCTTTAAAATTATTTACGTAGAATTCGATAAGTTACATTGGAAAGAAGCATATTATCTTAAACAAGTAAACTTGCTCACGAACGACTCAAAAATTAACGTATAGATCATTATAATGAGAATAATTAGCTGGGAAGATGCTGATAAATTCTTCTTCTTCTCAGTCGTACACTGCTGGCGGAGTGGTCGTGGTTACGTATGTCTTAATGCTTGGTTGCGGCTTTTGAGAGACTTCTCCATCTCTCCCTATTTGTGGCGGTACGTGTATGTGGGCGCAAACGTCAGTATTGGCAATAAATAACATAATAAATATATAGTTTAGTTTATTTACTTATTGTTAGCAAGATGAAACTGTTATTCTGCCATGTTTAATATTTAGCGGACACGGTTTTGATGTGGGAGTGTTCAGAGTGTGTTTAATCTTTATAAACATAAATGACTGGATAAATAAATAAGTATTGGTAAAACATAAATTTTAATAATAATTTATGTATTGGATAACGATTTTAGTAATATTAAGACGTTGTTTTGATTGTTACTTAAATGATAAAATGTTGTTTTGATAAATATCACAAAAGTGTAGGGTAGACGCCGTAACGCCAGCCACGCCATATAAAATGGCGGTGCGTGGACAAATTCATCCATGTTCGACTAGCCCATACCGTGGGCCCCGAAGGTTAAATACTTAGGTGTCACCCACGACAGAAGGATAACATTCCGCCCCCATATTAAGACGGTACGCGACCGTGCCGCCTTCATTCTAGGACGTCTCTACCCGATGATATGCAGGCGAAGTAAAATGTCCCTTAGAAATAAGGTGACACTCTACAAAACTTGCATACGCCCCGTCATGACCTATGCAAGTGTAGTGTTCGCTCACGCGGCCCGCACTCACTTAAAATCCTTCTAAATAATTCAATCCCGTTTTGCAGGATAGGCGTCGGAGCCCCGTGGTTCGTTAGGAACGTCGACCGCCATGACGACCTGGACTTAGAGTCCATCAGTAAGTATCTACAGTCGGCGTCGATGCGCCACTTCGATAAAGCGGCACGACACGAGAACCCTCTCATCGTGGCCGCCGGTAACTACATTTCCGATCCTGCGGACAGAATGGAAAGCAGTCGACGTCGCCCAAAACACGTCATCTCGGATCCTCCCGGTCCACTAACGGTGCTTTTAGGTACTTCAAGCACCGGTCACCGTTCTAGTCGAACCCGTCGCTTGCGACGAAGGGCTCGACGAGTAAATTAACTCTCAGACACAGCCCACTGAGTTTCTCGCCGGATCTTCTCAGTGGGTCGCGTTTTCGATCCGGTGGTAGATTCTGCGAAGCACGGCTCTTGCTAGGGTTCGTGTTAGCAACGTCATCAGGTTTGAGCCCCGTGAGCTCACCTACAAAAGTTAGGGTTACGCTGAAATAGCCTCAAGGCTCTCAGCTTAGGTAGGAAAAAAAAAAAAAAAAAAAATGGTCATCTCAGTCTGTCTGAAGCAGTCAAGTCGGTCATGCCGCTCAGTCATCCCTGGCGCCGTCATGTACATTCAGTAAGGGAACATTTCGTAGATGACTTAAGTCTGTCCACCTTGTGGATGATCGGCCGCGAGAGCATTGACCGTCTACTCTTCCTTGATAATGAATAATGATAACACAAACCTGTAACATCAAGTGCAGAATAAAACATACAGCCTAGTATCTTGAAATTGACGTCAGCATGCAAGTTCTGAGCTGCTATTTTGACGCCAATAAACATTAACTTAACGATAGTCGATATATTTGACAAACTTCATCCTGCATAGTGCAAGCATACAATTTCGAATCCCCATATTTACAGAGCACTTGGACAGCTGTGCTGCTACAAGGGCCTACTCGCGCAAAACTAAACAAGATTCGTAAATGCACTTACATTCGCCGCTTAAGGCAAACCAAAAAAGTTATAATAAGATAGACGTGCAGACGAGTGATGAGATTTGGAGGTGTGCAAGTAAAATTAGATTTTAGATAATTGAAATAAGATTGAAAACTGTAATTAAAGTCGTAGTTTAGAGTAAGTCAGAGTAGCAAGCAACTCTTTTACAATGATTCTGCTTATTCGACTCCGGCATTTAACATCTCCGGGTACCAAGTGGTGGTAGGGCCTCTTGTGAGTCCGCACGGGTAGGTACAACCACCCTGCCTATTTCTGCCTTGAAGCAGTAATGCGTTTCGGTTCGAAGGGCGGGGCAGCCTTTGTAACTATACTGAGACCTTAGAACTTATATCTCACGGTGGGTGGCGCATTTACATCGTAGATGTCTATGGGCTCCAGTAACCACTCAACACCAGGTGAGCTGTGAGCTAGTCCACTCATCTAAGCAATAAAAAAAACATATTTCGCGCGCCCACTAGACGCAGTAATTTCGTAGGAGGATTAGTCCCGGTCTAAAAACAAGGCGTTCCGATCCAAAACTTAGCTCAGCCGTTGAGGCAATTGAGGTACACTTGACTTAGACCTCATGTCTGAAGGTGAGGGGTAGCGTTCATGTTGTGATCTCCTTGGATTCCGGTAGTCACTCAATCCCAGTTGGACCTTGAGTGAATTTAGCTATCTAACCCAAAAAAAAGGTACAACAAATGGTCTCGTGAATTCTTATCGACGTGCCAATAAGTAAAATCATATCCTAAAACATAACTGTCTCCACTCGATTTAGGAGCACATTAGAAGTTTCAATTGCCATTCCGCCGAAATGAATCTCGAAAGAGCTTTGGAAATGAGAGTTGTCTCAACTAATTGGTCGCATTATGAACAAGTCACGTGTAAAGCTACGGAAGGAGCGTTTATCAGCGGAACAATTTTCGGGGGCTGCCTTTGTCAAATAACAAACTTTCGTAAACGCGATAGGGGTACAATTTTAAATTAGATTAAATATTTCCTCGTTCATTTGGAAAATGTATGAAAACGCTCCGGATATGGTTCGCCAATTTAATTTTTTGTTTAATTTTTCGCTTAAACTTATGTACGCTCATATTCCAAAGCCAGTAAATAAATACACAGATTGCAATAGTTCACTTAATACTGCTTTATTTGTAACTCCACTTGTACAATCTTTAGATATCTGCTCACTACTCAATACACTGATTTCTGTCACGTTTTTTCAGACTACCGCCTTTTTTATTATGTCACGTCCCCACTACTGCCATTGCTCCCACTAACAGTGTTGCTATTTGACAATCCGATAATTGCCTTAAGTTTAACATGATACATTTTATTATTTTTGTTTTAATTATTTTACAATAAACCTTACAGTTATGGTATTTGATTGCGACTCTTATATTATTACAAATGATACGTTAGCTTTCTTCGCGGCTAAGGTTTTGTTTTTGATGTAAACTTAAATTTTATTAATGACTGTTTTTTTTATTGGTCTTGTAAGCAGACGCATACGACCCACCTGATGGAGAGTGGTTACCGTTGCCCATGGACCTCAGCAATGCACTGTTGAGCAGAAGCTGCTCAAAAAACTAATTAAGAGCTCTGTTCTTACAACTATACATGTGCTTACATTTAAATCCCAAACCTTGACTAGCTCCCAACAAAATTATCGATTGATATTTAAAAACTCAATCATAAGACCGTTTTGATAAGATAAAGAAAAAACAAAAACAAATTCATTTCTAAATGTCATAATCTATATATTAATAATACGTGAAGCAAAAACTTTGTATCCCTTTTTACGAATACGAATTGCGCGGACGGAGGAGTATGAAATTTTCCACACTCATAGAGGATATAGAGAAGAAGTGCATAATGCTAATATTTTTTTAAAATAATGCATAAAAGATACATTAAATCAATAAAGAAAACATTACACACACTACATACCATGTATTTGACGCACACACGCGTGCATACTATTTATTGTCAAACTTTTGTTCTTGACGTCTGTTGTCAAATTGAGAATAGATTAAATATTGTTTGCCTTTGTTAATATTTTTTATAGTGTAGCCTTGGCGAAATTTGAGATTATAGAAGTATAAAATACAATCATAATAGTGTACAAACTTACAATTCCAATTAATTATGGTCGAATTTCGACTACTGCGGGACCTCTAGTATTAGTAATAGCTTGTGTTTATTTTAAAACGTTACAAACCGATAATGACACGCGCGGAGCATAATTAAAAAAAAAAGATACATCCTGTGACATAGAAACCGTAAGAATTCTAGTGGATCCAATTATCAATAGGTCACATTAACGTGAACACATCCACTTCCTTAAGAGTTAAAAAGACATGTTACAGTAGTATTCAAATAAGGGTTATCCAGGATGAGCTTCTATTCAAACATAGCGCAGAAAATAACGTTAACCGAAAACTTTAATCTTCCCAATAAACACAATGACCAAATCGTCTGATACCAAAAGCATCAATTACAACACATTTCAAATGTTTTACAAATATTATCACATAACAGAGGTTGCACCATCTAAATCCAAATCTGCACCATTCAAATTAGGACATATCCCACTCGCTACGAAGACAACCATCCTAGCAACCTCTTCGGGTTCAATAATCTTCATGTCTTGCGAGAGCCTCTCGTAGGCTACCTGCCGTTCTTCCTCAGACATCGCCAGATTTGACAGGATATTAGTTCTGGTCAATCCTGGTTGCACAGAATTTACTCGAACACCTTCTGTGGCCAATTCTATTGCCGCAATCTTGGTGAATTTCTGAAGTCCAGCTTTTGCAACCGAATAACCCATAAACCCATGTCTGACTCTTGCGTACTTAGTGGCTGTGAGGTTGACAATGTTACCTTTGGTTTTCGTCAAGTACGGCAGAGCCTGATGCGAGAGACTGTACGGAACTCGAAGATTAATATTGATCATCTCGTCAAATGCCTCTATATTTTCATCGAAGAGCGAACCTATGAGAACTTTACCGGCACAGTTGACAAGGACATCGATTCTTTTGAACGCGGTCACAGTTTTGGTTACTACCACAGCGCAACTGTCTTTATGGGTAAGGTCTATTCTGACACATAAGGGGCTGATTCCTTTTGCTGCGTGACATTTCTCGGCGACAGCTCGGAGTCTGGCTTCGTTTCTGCCTACCAGAGTCAAAGTTGCACCGTATTCAGCGAACAGTATAGCAGACGCTGCACCTATACCAGAACTGGCCCCAGTCACAATAACAACTTTTCCAGTGAAATCCATTTCAACGTGCGATCGTCTGTATCGATAATTGCCTACTAAAACTTATCATGCTCTTATCAGATAAAGCGCACTGTTGGTTTTTGATAGCATTTTCACCATTATTTATCGGATAATATGATATAAATATACTGGTGGGTTTTTAGATACATGAGAACCAGATTAATCCTGTTTCGTTCCCTCCAATTTAAAGCACATTTTATTTCAAATCTGGCGTCATGAAAATTAACGTTTATCTGTTATTTCTACATCACAACGAACTATAGATTTATGGCGGTATCTATAATTAGAACACAAGCCCGATATTAATTAAAAATCTACCGATAGGCTGTCTTTGTTTTATAAACCAGCTTGCAAACTTATCTTCAAAATGTCGTTAATTCGATTCAGATTTTTATCATGTATCTTCTATTCCACGAAGGCTAAAGAGAATTCTGTCCTATTGTCTATTCAGTACAGCATAATCAAGATACGAATACTAATTACTGAATTCCAATCCGACACAAACAGCAACCGTAGATTCGTAATGTAATAAATACACTTGACTCACCACACTTCGAGGCGGCCTCAAGAGTACGCCTCAAACGAGTGCACTAATGCGCTGTGACGTACAACGTCGGGCTTATCTCCTCCTCCATTAGTCGAATTGAACGGGCACTTTTGTTTGCAACGCAGTGTACGATGCGACGAGCGCTTTGTATTGTCGTTTGTGGTGTAAGTGCATGAACGAAAGCGTTTAAAACACGACAGTCGTCAAGTGTGCTTAGTGTGTTTCCAAGTGTGTGCAGAAAAGTGCATTATTGTACGCTACTAAATTGACTGATGTACGCTTTGTGAAACAATCAGTTAAATGGTGAAAACCAAAGTGGTCTTTGACTGTTTTATTGATAGGTAATGGCTTTATTGAAGAAACTAGCTTTTGCCCGCGACTCCGTCCGCGTGGAATAGTTACTTTAGCATAACGCTAAATTTTACTTCCCCACTTCATTTACGTAGAAAGTGAAAATATCTTGAAACACTCTTTATTGGTGCTCCAATTTTTTTTTTTTTTTTTGCTTATATGAGTGGACGAGCTCACAGCCCACCTAGTGTTAAGTGGTGACTGGAGCCCATAGATATCTACAACGTAAATGCGCCACCCATCTTGAGATATAAGTTCTAAGGTCTCAATTATAGTTACAACGGCTGCCCCACCCTTCAAACCGAAACGCATTACTGCTTCACGGCAGAAATAGGCAGGGTGGTGGTACCTACCCGTGCGGACTCACAAGAGGTCCTACCACCAGTAATTACGCAAATTATAATTTTGCGGGTTTCATTTTTATTACACGATTTGTATCGGTCTTACCGTGATGTTATATAGCCTAAAGCCTTCCTTAATAAATGGGCTATCAAACACTAAATTTTTCATTAGATTACTGAGATTAGCGCGTTTAAACAAACAAGCTCTTCAGCTTTATATTATTAAGTATAGATGATATTATTAGAACTATGGTTGGTCCTTTAGATGGGCTTTTTAACAGATATTTCGAGCCAGTATGGTCGTCGACGCTGGGTCGCGATCCCGTACACACAGCCGGAACGAAACCCTTCCGTCTATATCCCGAGTTATAGCGGTGAAGCCGCAACAAAATCATTTATATTTAAGACACTTTGTTTACTATAACGCCAAAGAATGTGGCTTACGTGATGGCCTATCGGGCTTTTAAGTAAATACTAACAGGTATTTTACTATTGTTAGGTATGTGGTGGACGCATTTACTAGTTGTAGATCGTATTGTAAGCCACCACGGGATTTTACCACCACCCTGCCTATTCCCGGTAAGTATACCGTTTAAATAGAGTTAAATAGGAAACTTCCAGATCACACGGAATGACCTCACATTGTAGTGTACATATGGGCCCTGATAACTATTTACCAGCTACCGTGAGTTCGCCTGTCGATCTAAAGCCACAAAAACGAATTATACGTAGCAAAGTTACTGAAATCAAAATCAAAAACCTCTCTTATAAGCCCTCAGAGACGCTTCCAAATCGTCACGACTTTACCACCAATTCGGAATGCATTGAATTCATTCTAGCATTGAAACGGATCGATAAGAAATTCACGACTTCTTCTTTCAGGATCTTCCATCATTAGACGACGGTTTAAACTCGAATCATCATCATCATTATCAGCCTGTATTTCTCCACTGCTGGATGTAGGCCTCTCCCGTAGTCCGCCATAATTAGCGGTCCTTAAGGGGCTGTAAGGGATGGAAATTGAATCACAGCTACTCAATAGCTAACCTCACTCGCCCTTGGTGTACCCGGCTAGCTAAGGGACGAGACCCTAGCGACCGACAAATGGCCGTATAGCAATCCATATTAAGCGATGTCCCTAAATAAAATACACCAGGCCATGGGCAACAGCATGCCCTGAGGAAAGGACATAAAACTGTGGTTACCAACCCGTCTCCCAAGCGTGGTGACTATGGGCATAAGCCTTCCAATGGACATAAACTCGAATAATCCAGCGCAAATACTCAATCAACCTGCCCACTGAGTTTCTCGCCAGATCTTTTCAGTAGATCGCGACTCCGATTCTGTGGTAGATTCTGTGTAGCACTGCTCTTACTAGGGCTAGTGTTAGCGAATTCTCTCAGGTTTAAGTACGTGAGCTCGCCTAGCCGTCCGGGCGTAGCTGGAATTGCCTCTTAGGCCACCAGTAGGGAAAAACATAACTCAAGCATAGAAAAATGCAATTTTAATCCGAATCGCGTTTGCTCAAAACATGGGTCCCATAAAAAGCTGTGGAGACGGGGTATTGTAAACAATGTGATTCGATTAATGACGTTCTCCGAGGCAGTGTGAATGGCGTCGTGTAACGGACTCGACCGTCGGGGATTTGTTCGCAATGCCACACTAGCCGAGAGTCCGAGTCGATATGTCATCCCATCGTTATTAATGACTCATGCACTGGTGTCGATTTAAAATGAGTTTTGCAAGCTTTCACCACGGATGAGCGTAAACTTGAAAAGAAGAATGATGAACTTGAGGTAGAATTGATTTTGAGGGGTTTTTTATATTATTTATTTAAATATACTAGCAACTCGCCCTCGCTTCGCTTCGGAAACATTAAATTTTATTATTGATAGAGTCCCGCGATGTTACCCGCGGTTATTGTCGTATCGCGGGTGACACCGCGGGGCGAAACACATTAGAAACCTCAAAAATAACAGTATTTCTCCACTATTCAATGGATGTTATTATACATATAAACCTTCCTCTTCAATCACTCTATCTATTAAAAAAAACCGCATCAAAATCCGTTGCGTAGTTTTAAAGATTTAAGCATACATAGGGATATAGGGACAGAGAAAGCGACTTTGTTTTATATTATGAAGTGATTCATAATGGACTAAACAATTTGAAAAGTAAAGTTGTTTGTGTCTTAGACCATGTTTGTTAAAGTAGTTCTTGAGAATATGTTGATACTGCTGAAGTTTGGTAGAGCTTTGACGTCGTAATTTTTATTTATCTTATTATATTATATTGGTATTTGGTTTTTACCTAGTTATGGAATATCGTCACAAAATATGGCAACCTACTTTATATCTGAAGTTTTATTAATTTTATGACCTCAAACACTCTTAGCTGATATGCCGCTTTTGAACATTATAATGAAAAGTATATTGAACAACTTCCCACGAAAGTTCGGAGAGGTTTAGGTAAAGGCTGTCTCCACGGCTTTAGTGTTGGATGTAGACGTTATATAAATAATATAAAATCATTTAACTTGTCTTTTTTTCTTTTATTGCTCAGAATTTTAAGCTATTGCACAGTATTTATCGCGGGCTTTGAGCGCGGCAACCGAATCAAGATTTTCCGTAACGAAAATAAAACCTAACACCCTCCATTCTGCCTACCATGTAGCTCGCGTTCAACACATTCGCACGTTACGCTTGTATAGTGTTTGTGAGTAAGCGCGTGGCGTGACGTCGCACTGCATGCGCATCATGAAAAGCCTGCCCATCTCTCTCTCGCGCGGTCTAGCTTATGAGTGTGAAGGGGACAGTTAATGTTTACAAATCCGGCTATGGAATGAGCTCCCCTCCACGGTGTTTCCCGAGCGCTATGACATGTCCTTCTTCAAACGAGGCTTGTGGAGAGTATTAAGCGGTAGGCAGCGGCTTGGCTCTGCCCCTGGCATTGCTGAAGTCCATGGGCGACGGTAACCACTCACCCTCAGGTGGGCCGTATGCTCGTCTATCTACAAGGGCAATAAAACAAAAAAAAATATAGCGTGGTCTTATTTTGTTATTGTTTTAATATTAAGTTATTATTGTCTAATTATAATTACATAAGTTGATAAAAAATGCTATGCAATAACTTTACCGCGGCAGTCCCCGGGTGCCATTAGTTTTTTTTTATTGCTTCGATGGATGGACGAGCTCACAGCCCACCTGGTGCTAAGCGGTTACTGGAGCCCATAGACATCCACAATGCAAATGCGCCACCCACCCTGAGACACAAGTTCTAAGGTCTCAGTATAGTTACAACGGCTGCCCCACCCTTCAGTACAAGTTTAATAGTTTATTTCCGTCTAGACATAAGGAAAGGTCCATAACACACCCTGTATACGTTGGAAGAACCAAGCAAAACAATTTCAGCTGCACAATCTAGATGCTGTGCGCGTTATTTATACTCCGGCTACGGATTCAAATATTACACTGTCGAGTTGAAACGTTCCAAGCCTTTTGCAAAACAATGTGATTCGATAAATAAACTTCCGCGTGGCACAATGGTAGTAGGTACGGCCCCGACTAATTAATGGATATTTCCAATTATTGTTCCCGGTTCAATGAGAGGGCTGTTACGTTTATGAACCATTAATTAATTAGGCAACGGTTTTGGCAGTACCTCTGGCATTGTTGACGTGAACGGCGACCAATCACCAACAGATATATGCACGTCTACATACAAAATCAATTTTAAAAAAAACGCTATTTTTGGGATATTTATTTTTGAAC